TCTATATACTTTATGTATTTTATATATTTTATATATTATAAATTAATAAATATGCATTATATATATTTATAATATACAATATATTATTTATTATTTTAAATATAATATTTTATATATATTTATAATTTCTTATTATATATTTTTATAACATATATTGTAAAAATTAAAAAACCAAAAAACCAACAGTTACCAATTTAGCGTTTAGAATTTTCCARAAACCGGTAGTACCGGTTCAATTACAAAAAAATTGCCCACAATTCGGTCAACCGAACCATGAACACCCCTACTTATGGCCCAACCTTTAGAGAGTCCGGATCACCTGTCAAAAAAAATACATTCCAACACCCTACTAACAACATTTGACATCGTACATCTCATACATGGTAGGTCCCACTTTTATGATCGGCCCTAGATTTATAGCAAGATGCAAGGGTGTCGGATTAAATTRGTAGGGTGTTGGAACTTGTTTTATTGGTAGGTGATCCCAACTTATCTTTGTAACTACAATCATAATTGTCAGGCCCATAGTTTGATTCGGTCGCTCCATTCATTCGCTGTTTGTAATTTTGGTGTATACTATCTACTGAATCTATATATTGATTCAGCAACTTTAGAATTTATCAATTCGATGTTGTGTTTAGACTTCTTCTATGYGTTACATCACCACAGCTTGTAACTACATTGGATTTATAGATAGGTTATTTTGAAGAAACTAAAGGTTAGTGAATTAATTCTTAATGAATCAAGAGAACCCATTCAACTTTCCAYCCAAAAAAACAATAAAGCAAAGAACCTATAAATCAATTTACAATTGACTGGTTGATATTAGGGGTGTCAATTGGACTGGATTTGGTCCAATCGGATCCAGCCCAATATGAGTATTATAAATGGATCAGGTCCAATCCAGTGAATGTTTTGGACTAATTTGGATTGGTCCAATTTAATRTCTGGACCATCTAATCTGTTCAAATTCATTTTGATTTAGATTGGTTTCAATTTAAACCCGGTCCATTGACACATATATTCTTATCTTATATCAATGGATCAGATATTGCCTTATCCAACCCAATCCAATATAAATTTGTTACAGACGGATCAGGTCCAATCCAACCTAATAAATACTTTGGACCAGATTGATCCAATCCAATATGTCTTATTGATCCATCCAAATTGATTTTGGACTGAACGGGGTCCAATTCAAAACTGGCCCATTAATTGACACCCATAGTTCATAATGAGAATCTGGAAACTAGCTGATCCTATATTCAGCACAAGGATGAAACATGAATATTTTGGCATTTCAGTTGTTGCAACTCAAAATCCTAACTACACATCTTGGCTGTTTGACTATACCAGTACTCTATGGAAGTTCTTGTCCTCTATTATTTCTGATCTTCCTCTAGTTCTTTTAGACCTCTACGTTCATTACATGAACCCTTCCTATTCGTGCAATAATTAATTAGGGTTAAATTAACTACTTCTAGATTTCAGAGAATGAACTCATTTCTAATAATTCTACTTACCTTTTTATTCTTCATTTTAAATATTCTCATCTCTACTGTTATCGTTTTGTAGACATATTATATTTTGTCTGTTGTCCAGAATCCACTCTATATATGTACACATTTATCATTTTAGTGGTTTGTTGCCTTTGATTTCCTTCCTTTTTGACATTATACTCACAAAGAAAGAAAAGAAATTAACTGTATTGCAGAACAATTTCAGAACTTTTGCCATTTTGAAATGCAAAACCTTGTATTTTGTATGTATTTATGCTCTTCCAACTGAGCCTTAAAATCTAACCATATGTTCCATTCTTTTAATCACTATGATGAATATAATTCTTTTTGGTCTGTAATAAAAAGGAAAAAAAAAAACTGAAATTTCATACTACTATTTTACAAAATAAAATGTAGCCCTCTTACATCTATTTTGCTCTTTTTGTCTCTTCTCTCTTTTTTTTAATATTGGTGGAAATTAAAAAAAAAAAAAGCATGGTTTTTAAAACCAACCCGGAGAGCGAATCGGTCAGGGGTCTGGTTACCGGGTCAAACGGTCCGACCATTCGAACCAAACGCTAGGCCCATTCTGACAAAAAAATAAAAAAAGGTCAAAACCGTTTGAACGGTTAACCACCCGGTTCAGCGATCCGGTTTTGGGGGGAAACG